ATCGTGTATTGCAGCCCTTGATACATTGCTTATAATTTATTGCAACTTTCAAAAGGGCTGTATGCACAGATACACATACTTTTGCATTTATAAACTTTTAGTGTGTGCTCTGTATAATTGGCGAGCAGGGTTTTTGCACTCTCTGCTTCCTAGGATTTTTGGCGGGAGGCTGTTCAGACCAGTGTTTAGGGATTTCCAGTCTTTATTTAAGGGGTGCCCTTAAAGACACAAGCACTTAGGGATTTTGAGAATTACTCAGGAATTTCTCCACTATTGTTGTCTTAAACCCACACTATCTCTGCGATATATATTCCTGCATAGCGATATTAATAACCCATTCTGGTTCTCTCTCCCACACAACAATACATGGTCTGATACACCAACAAGTATTACTTTTTATTGACAAAACTACACTCTCAGAACAGGGTGTTATATACTACTTTGTAATCGAGACTGTAATATTGTGCTCCCAGGCAAATTATTGTACAGATTCACCTGCAGCGGGTTCACTTATTGGATTGAAATAATCCCTGCAATTACACTATCTCCGTATTAACGGAGACAAGCTAGGACAAGTTATACTAATTAGTGTTCTTAATATGTGCTCTTGTGGTTTTACTTTTTTAGTATTAAAAGTTAAGTTTTATATTTAAAGTGGTACACACTATTTGTACCACTGACTGTCCCCCTCCCTTTTAAGGGACTTAAACTCCTCAGGACACTCTACCATAATTCCATTATCCTCTACATTAATCATTTGTGCTATCTATCACCCCTCCTTAATAAATCAAGCTATCTACATCCATAATACATTATGACACCTTCCTTATCTAATTAAGCATAAAGCATCCCTCTAATAAACCATGCCTCATTCCTCCCTTTTCTAATCAGTATTATGAAAGACTTCAGAGGTAGTTTGAGGAGATACCCTTGCTACGCTTTTCAACATACCTGATTTTGGCAGGACAGTTTTGAAATGTGAGTCCTGTCTAATTGTCCTGACTTTGTTTTCTTGTGTCCTGCTTTTAAGAACACAAGAGAACAAAGGAACATGGAACTGTCCTCAAAAATTGTATAATGAGTGCATCATTAGATGCACTCATGCTACACTCAGGGCAATAGGACCCTGCAGAGGGCACTGAAAACAGCTTTCTACATCGTCTGACATCAGTGGGTCGGCCTGGATAATTGACAGGCCATCTGTTGAGCATCCTTAGTGGGATTTTAAAGGGATCGGGCACCTCTGAAATGATCTTTTACAGGGAATTTCAATTCATCATTAATCAGCACAATCAGACAGGAGAAGATAACAAAAAAAGTTCATCTAATAAAATGAAATAGAAATAAGGCAAAAAATTCTAGTGTTATAATGTTATTTTAATAAAAGTGGAACCGGCCAAGCTGTATAAACAAATATGGTTTCCTCACTTTATCAATCTATTTTGTTCATATTTCCAAAGTAAACAGAATGTGTGCAAATCTAAAATATCAAATTAACTCACAATGTGGTATTGCATTAAAATAATATATTTATAAGGAAAATATATATATTCATATTCATTAAAGTACATTTCTGTTGTTTAACAAATGCTCTAACAATCATATTACCCGGAGCCAAATTTAGTGGCTCCATGCTGGCTGGTTAAATTATTATAGGTGAGTTTTACTTAAGAATCTTCTTTTGATTTTATCTGTAAGAATTTTATAGCAAAAGCTGACAATTGAGCTGCAATTCATAGATACTCTTACTGTGTCCTTAAATGGACCCATACCACTTCACCTCATTGAAGAGATCTGGGCCCAGTGTCCCTATTGCACTTAGTGCTGCAATCTTAAACATTGCAGTTCCAGAGAAACTGTAATATTTACATTGCAGCACTAAGCCCGCCTCCAATGGCTGTCTCCCAGAGAGCCACTGGAGGCGCCTCCTGGATTTTACCAGAACTTTGGTCCGGTATCTGACGCTGGACCAGTGTTAAATTTGAAGGCATATTTCAATTTAGTTTTAGCCATTTTAGTTTAGTCGTATTTTAGTCATTTGAATTGTTTTAGTTTTAGTCTAGTTTTAGTTGACTAAATCTCCAGTAGATTTTAGTCAACACGACTAAAATCTAATGGGTTTAGTTAGAGTCTCTGTCTCTTTTTCCCTTTCCCCAGCCCCTCAGTGTCTCTTTGTGTCCTCCCAGCCCCTCTATGTGTCTTATTCTGAATGCCTGGTCTGTCTATTTTGCCCCTTCAACTCTGTGCAGTGTTAATTTTGGTGACAAATTTCAATTTAGTTTTAGTCATAGTCTTTTGACAAAAATGCCTTTTTAGTTTTAGTCATATTTTAGTCTTCTGAACTGTTTTAGTTATAGTCTAGTTTTAGTCAACTAAATCTCAAAAAGGAAAGAAAATATTAGAACATTAGTTAAAGAATCTGAATGTTTTTTTAAAGAGAACTTAACAGGGGATACAACTCTCACAAATGCATGGTGCACTTATAAATCTGTAGTTAGAGGGCAAATAATCAAACTAGATGCATATTAGAGAAAAAAAAAATTATAAACTTTTATCGAAATTGTATATTCAATTGGAAAAACTGAAAAGGGAATTTAATACAAGGTTATCTGATTTGGTTAAAATCAAAATAGATCAGATTAAAAAGGAGATTAGAAAACAGCTATTAGAGAAAGCGAATAAAACCTTATTAAGAATAAAACAAAAATGTTACTATATGGGGAATAGACTTAATAGATTGTTGACTAATCAAGTTAAGAAACAGAATTTAAAATCTAGAATTTTTTTTTTTTTAAAGTGGATAATAATGAAGTCCATAACTCCCCAGATAAAATTGGAGCTGTATTTAGGAATTATTACAACGGTTTATATAATGTTCCCTAGCAAAAACAAAATAGAAAGAGAATTAAAGAGTATTTAACTACAACTAAGCTACTGACAATAACGTAGGAACAAAGATAAAGCTTAGATGCACCCTTTCAAATAATAGAAGTAAAGAAGGCTATAAAAAAATTAAAAACAAATAAATCCCCACGACCGAATGGAATGTCTAACATATATTGTCCCCTTATATGACAAACCATTTTAACAAAATAAAACAAACTAAAGGATTTCCAGAAGAGATGCTTTAAACATCCATCCTGCCCATTCCGAAGCAAGATAAGGATCCCACAGGGCTAGCAAACTACAGGCCAATATCATTAATAAATTTGGAAACCAAGATATACTCGGCTATATTGGCTGAGAGAATTAACACAATTTTGCCTTTGATAATTGGAGCGGTTCATACAGGATTTGTGAGATCTCACCATTCAAACAGTAATATAAGGAAGATATTACACTTAATTGACTACACAAAGCAAAAACAAGAACTGATGTTAATGTTGTCTATTGACGCAGGATAGGCATTTGACAGGGTCAATTGGCTGTTCCTCGAAGTAACCATGAGAGCATTTAATCTCGGGGACAGTTTAATTGACTCTGACATGGCCTTGTATGCTTCTCCTTCTCCTCGAGTGATAGATCAAGGATTATGTTCTAATTGGCTGAATATTAAGAATGGTACGAGATCAGGATGTCCACTAGCTCCAATGCTTTACATTATGTCTCTGAAACCACTTGCTAATATTATAAGTAACAATAAAAATATTAAGGGTATAAAAATAGGCACATAGAGTGCAAACTAACCATGTATGCAGACGATGTGTTGGTGACTCTCAGCTCCCCAGAAACATCATTATCTTATTTGTCTGAAGAGATAGATCTATGTAGTTTCCTGTCTAATTTTAAAGTAAATAAAAATATATCTGAAATTATGTCAATAGCAATAGAAGAAGAAACTATACATAACATTCAAAGCCAGTATGGGCTTGTGGTGAATAAATCAGGGATTACATACTTGGGAATAATCTTAACAGGCAATGTTGAAAATATTTGGAGAAGTAATTATCTTGCTTTAATTATGAAAAGAATTTGGCGGAATGGAAACATCTTTTTGCTTCATGGATGGGCAGGATGAATAAAATAAAATCTTACGCATTCCCCATGTGGTTATATTGCTTACGTATGATTCCCCTTAAAATCCCCATAAAATATTGTGATTACTTTCAAAAAAATTACAGAAAAGTTTATATGGTTGGGAAAAAAAACTAGAATCTGTAGAAACATATGATATACTATGATTCATCAAGGAGGGTTTAGTTTACCTAAAATGGAAAACTATGTTAATGTAGTGATGGTTACTCAAGCTCATAAATGTTTGATAGAATCTGAATTACTAAAAATCAAGAATTTAGAAAATATTCTATGGGCTCGCCATAAGGAGGTTAAAAAAATATCTAGATACAATACTTCAACTGTTCTGGATAATATTATTAACGGTTGGATAAGAAGAAAAAACTTTTCATAAAAGATAAAGTGATTAGAAATACCTCTCTTGTAAGTCTAGAAACCAATATTAAAAATATAGTGATAAAAACTCCACATGATAAATATAAAATCAAAATCAGAGATGTATTGATAGGGGACAAACTTAAGACTATTAGCACATTATGTAAAGAATTGGATCTTTCAAATCCTCAGTATTTTTCTTGGATAAGAATTAATAATTATATTAGAGTGCACTTATACAGAGAGGATGAAAATGGAGTACAGAAGCATCTAAACAAAATGTTTAATAATAAATCTCAACCAGGTATAATTAAGATGATCCATAGAATAATGGTCACCCTAGAACAAGGCGTAATATCAAGAGCGTTATTAGCATGGCCTCGATAGCAAAGAATGGGTAAACAGTCTCATGTCTATTAGGGAAGCCACACATTGCTTAACATTGCAAGAAACACATCTAAAACTGAATTATAAATGGTATTTAGTACCTACCATTAGTGATGTCCCGAATGGTTCGCCGAACGGTGCTCCGCGGACAGCGAACATATGCGCTGTTCGGTCCGCCCCCTATGTCATCATTGAGTAAACTTTGACCCTGTACCTCACAGTCAGCAGACATATTCCAGCCAATCAGCAGCAGACCCTTCCTCCCAGACCCTCCCACCTCCTGGACAGCATCCTTTTTACATTCTGCATTCTGCATACAAGCTGCATTCTTAGTGAGCTGTCCAGGAGGTGGGAGGGTCTGGGAGGGAGGGTCTGCTGCTGATTGGCTGGAATGTGTCTGCTGACTGTGAGGTACAGGGTCAAAGTTTACTCAATGATGACGAATAGGGGGCGGACCGAACAGCGCATATGTTCGCCATCCGTGGCGAACCGTTCGGGACATCACTACCTACCATATAAGCAAAATTCAAGAGCACAGAGAATATATTCTGTTGGAGATGTGGGGATCAAAATGGTAGTTATTTGCACATTTGGTGGGAATGTAGGCAGATAATTGATGTCTGGAAAACTATTTTTGTTGTTATCTCTGAGATATTGAAAATAAACATAGCTCCAACTGCAAAGTGGGCATTGCTACATATGGATTTTGGAGAATTTGAATCTAAGGATAGATATATGATTATACAAATCTTTTTAGCTATGGAAATTTTTATAGTGTGAAACTGGAAATCAAAAGACAAAATATGTTGGAATTTGGTTAGCAATCAGGTAAAGTCTCCAGGAGGTTTGGAAAAGGGATTTTATCTGAACTATCATACATTGGATAAATATAACACCCTTTGGAGTCCTTGGCCCAATAAGTATTAACACATTAAAGAGGGCAATGAAGAGCAAGTGGAAAAATAAGAAAGGAAAGAGAAAGGGGGATAAGGGATAGAGAAAGGAGAAAGTGAGATGGCATAGAAAATGGAAATGACAAAGAGAAAAAGAGAAAAACATATTGTAGCTCTCATTCTTCACCATATGGAGCAAGAGATAGGAAATAGAACAAGTAATGAAACATAGTTAGGGAGTTATTATTTTATTTATTTTTTATATTTTTTTGTCTGGGTATGAGTGAGTGAAAATTTGTTTTGTTTGCTTGAGGCAGAAATAGAACATTGAAATAATAAAGTGAAGTAAAAGTAGAAAAGAAAATAGATTGATATTAACACATGATGAACATGGTATGAAAGCAAAATCTAATATTGAAAGATGGAGATATTCATACCTAGTTCTGATGTAATTTTTTTTTTTTTTTAAATTCTAGTCGACTAAAATTGTTAGTCATCAAAATTAACACTGCACTAGACATCCTCTCGCTCTGCACGAGGACATCCAGCATCAGAAATTTCCCCATAAGAAAGCATTGATTTAATGCTTTCCTATGGGGAGGTCTAGTGCATGTGTAGCATTTGCCGTGCATTAGTGCCTGCTCATCGTCGATGACGTTGGATGAGGCGGAGCAGCAACCCAGTGCTGAGGAACATTGATGCTGGGGTAAGGTAAGTAAATAAAGGGTTTTTAACAGTTTATTCTTGTTGGTGGGGAGGCATGAGGGATGGGGGAGACAGAGGGATCTATAGTACCAGGAATACAGATTTGTTTGTGACAGTACAAGTAGGAAAAGACTGAACAGAAGAATGGATGGATTTTTTGGATGGAAAGAACATGGCAGGACAGCTTAGTTTTGCAAAGTTGCATCTAAACAATCCACAAGACTTCTTGAACAATGTCCTTTCAACAGACAAGACCAAAGTGGAAATGTTTGGTCATAATGCACAGCACCATGTTTATCGAAAGCCAAACACAGCATAACAACACAAATGCCTCATACCAACTGTCAATCACAGTGGTGGAGGGTTAATGATTTGAGCTTGTTTTGCAGCCACAGGACCTGGCAACCTTGCAGCCATTGAGTCTGTATACCAAAGTATTCTAGAGTCAAATTTGAGGCAATCTGTATAACAGCTAAAGCTTGGCTGAAATTGGGTCATGCAACAGGACAATGATGCCAAGCACATCAGAGAATTTTCAACAGAATGGCTGAAAAAGTAAAGAATCAATGTGTTGAATTGGCCCAGTCAAAGTCTAAACCTCGACCTGATTTAAATGCTATGACGGGACCTTAAGAGAGCTGTGTATAAACAAATGCCAGCAAACCTCAATAAACTGAAACAACGTTGTAAAGAAGAGTGGGCCAAAATTGCTCCACAACTATGTGAGAGACTGATAAAGTCATACAGAAAATGATTACCGTATATATTCGAGTATAAGCCGACCCGAATATAAGCCAAGGCACCTAATTTTACCACAAAAAACTGGGAAAACTTATTGACTCTAGTATAAGCCTAGGGTGGGAAATGCAGCAGCTACTGGTAAATTTCTAAATAAAATTAGATCCCAATAAAATTACATTAATTGAATATTTATTTACAGTGTGTGTATATAATGAATGCAGTGTGTGTGTGTGTGTGTGTTTGTGTAGTGTGTGTATATAATTAATGCAGTGTGTGTGTGTGTGTGTGTGTTTGTGTAGTGTGTGTGTATAATGAATGCAGAGTGTGTGTTTGTGTAGTGTGTTTGTGTACTGTGTGTATATAATGAATGCAGAGTGTGTGTGTGTTTGTGTAGTGCGTGTAACTAATGAATGCAGTGTGTGTTTGTGTGTAGTGTGTGTATATAATGAATGCAGAATGTGTGTGTTTGTGTGAATGCAGTGTGTTTGTATATAATGCAGTGTGTGTGTGTATAATGAATGCAGTGTGTGTGAATATAATGAATGCAGAACGTGTGTGTATATAATGCAGAGTGTGTGTTTGTGTGAATGCAGTGTGTGTGTTTGTGTAGCGTATGTAAAACTGGGTGGGGGGTGGACTTGTTTATTATTTTAATATTAATATTTATCCTTTTTTGTCCCCCCTCCCTGCTTATTGCCTGGCCAGGGAGGGAGGCTATGGCATTCCCTGGTGGTCCAGTGGTGTGGGTTGAGCAGTGGGTGGTACTTACCTTTCCTGCAGCTCCCTTCAGCTACCTGTGTAAATCTCGCGGTCTGCGTGCCGTGTGGAGCGTTGCCACGTTAAGCCTTGGCAACGCTCTGACGGCCGCGGGACTCGCGAAATGTACACAGGGAGCTGAAGGGAGCTGCAGAAAGGTAAGTAACAGCTTGCTGCCACCCCTCCCCCCCCCCAGTCTGTATTATGGCAATGTAAGTTGCCATTATACAGACCCTGACTCGAGTATAAGCCGAGGGGGGCTTTTTCAGCATAAAAACTGTGCTTATAAACTTTGCTTATACTCGAGTATATACGGTACTTCAAGTTATTGCTGCTATAAGCTATTGAATAATAATTGTACATAGTTTTTCACACATGGATTCATTTTGGCTTTATTTTTGTTAAATAAATCATGACAATGTGTAATATGTATTATATTGTTGTTCATCTGAGTTTGTAGTTACCTAATTTTAAGATTTGCTAAGGAACAAATGATTACTATTATGTCCTAATATGTAAAACCATATAATTCAAAGAGGGTGTACTTTCCCATGACCTTGCTAGTCCCCTTAATGGTATTCTTCCATTATATCTCAATGACACTTGAGCATGTAGGGAAAAGGTGTTTGAATGGTAACTCTTGATAAATTTGTAAGATAGATCTTTTGGGTGAGTTTCATTATAAAGGAACTTGTGGTTGAGCAATGAAACATTTGAGGTTGAAAAAGTATCTACAAGTCAGAAATGCTTATGCAGAGCTTTCTTTAGGAGTTTTAAGGTAACTACTAGTTGTCGAATCTGAGATGTGAGAAATTTTAGCGGATTAGGTTGTATAAATGCTGTGATTTCATACCTGGTGCAATAGTGGATATCTATATAGAGACCTAAAAGGTAAAAGAGGAAATGTGAGTGAGAACTTAAGAGAGTTTAGAGTAGAGATCATAAAATAGCTTGGCACTGTAGAAGAGATGTATATCTCAAATGATTTGGGAGCCAGATAAAATAAGGCAACATTTCATGAGCATGATGATTTTTTCCAATATCAAGAAGTTGTATCTTTGTAATTCTTTAATACATTTATGAGAAGTAAATCTGCATTGCCTTTTAAAATGAAACCATACATTGTGTAGATATATTCATCACATTAAAGTGTTTTGAAACAGGTGCAAAAGGAAGCAAGCTCTGCTAATTAAATGCTATTTCAAGTAACTTATTTGAAAAAAATACTCTTTTTTTTAAACACACTACTTATTTTTCTATTTTTACAGTACCCGTGATTGTAAGTGAGAAGACACATTATAATTTGTACTAAGCAGTATGAAGGGAGGTAGCTAGAGGGCTTTCTAAAATCAGATGCATTATGTCTCTATATTAACCCACTAACTGCTAATTTATATTAAAGTGTAGAATTTATTAGATGTATAGCAAGCATATCAAATGAGTACAAGACCTGAAATGTGTGTCTAAATTGATGTTTAGGCATAACAGTTCAATGTTTTACTTTACTGTACACTTCATTAAATAATTCTTTATTCACAGAAATATTGTATTAGTATATGTGGTGTCCCTAGTTTTACAGTATTGTATACATGATCAGAAAATTTAGGCTAGAAAGGCAAAACGTAATCATTATTTATAGTTAACAGTCGGTATTTATTATTTTTTAAAAGGCTGCATACCCTGCTAATGCATTTGGAATACTTTTGCATATATTTTTTAAATGCATATTTCCAAATTGGCAACAAAAGGTAAAATAAGTGTCCGTATGTGCTCATGTTAACATATAGTAAATTAATTATTCTACCTAAATCTTGACTTATGTATTTCATAGGGTATTGTAGATCCTGTAAACTATTGTGAAGCCTGATGATATTTAATTTAAATTCTGTAAAATGTGTTGTATTTACTGAGCCTGAAGGCTCCAATCCCTGTGTGAGCTGATTGATGGATATGAGAGCACCACTTATATTCTTCTTGTGTGGGACCCATTATTGCTTTAATGGCATTCCCCCCACACATTAGCTTAGACTTAATGCTGGGAGCAGATCTGTTTAATGCAGGCAAAGCTTCAGAATTTATACACACAGTAAACTCCTCCCTTCTGCCTGAGAGGTAATTGAGTCAGGAACTGTACAAACTCAATTAGCTCCAGGTACAGAAAAATACAACAATTTACAACACCCCAAAAGTACCTTCGAAATACATGGAACCCCCTCAAGAGTCACATCCACAGATATCCCTGATCTGAGTGCCTATCATATCCAAAAAAGCACTCAGATTGGTTCAGTGGTTCGGGATTCCATGG